CCCCAAACATATTTATGTAGCTAAAATTAGTTTTAACTAATGTTAAAAGTTAAAACTAGTTTTATCTAAAATCAAAACATGTACAGCAGTAAATTAACTAGACAAAACCTGTTTTGTCTAGTTAAAACTAGAATTTACTGCTAGTCAAAAATGAATTTGAATTAGAACTAGTTTTAGCTAGACAAAACGGGTTTTAACAAAGACATTCAGTATAAACTAGTTTCAACTAGACAAAATGGGTTTTAACAAAGACATTTAGTATAAACTAGTTTCAACTAGTTAAAACGCATTCTAACTAAAAACGCGTTTTGACTGTAACATATATACTACATAGATGGCTGTATAATGTACAATGTGTATACTTTTTACAGAAATAATTTCTACATGAATAGTATAATTCTTTATAACTATTAACATAAAAATTATGTGCATAGTGTTATGAAAAAACTAGAAGTTTTTATGAAAATTTGTTCATTATATATAAAGATCATGTATGATATAATCATGATATACTGTATTTTTAAAAGATTTTCTCTGCAGAATAATGAAATTTCTATTTATAACACTTACAATGTTTAGTTAATATTGAAACTATGTCTTTCTTTTGAATTCTGATGATGTTTGTAAAATATATCAAAAAATCTTTAATACAGTAATTTTCATAATAACCCATCTTATTTAAAAAATTTCAAAATATTTTCATTTATTCAAAAAGAGTTCAATAAGAAAAACAGGAAACTAAATTTAATAAAAAAAATCATTCTAAAAACTACAAACATAAACTAGAAGAAATAAATCCTTATTAATTACCATTTTGGAGATTTTCTTCATATTGCATATGTAAGTGATGTTCAAGTTCTTTCTTTTCTTCCTGATACTTTTCAAACAGTTTAGATTCAAATTCATTTTTAAAAATTTCTCTTTCTTCATTTAAAATTTTTATTTGATTTTCAAAATGGCTTTTTTCATCACATAACTTAATGAAAAGTTCTTTAACTTCAACTAATGACTCAGTTAATTGTGTTATTTCATCCCTAAAAATCACAATTATTTCATATACTCTATATAACTTTCATATTTATTACAATTCTAGTATTCTGCATTGTTAAAAATGAATGAAATTCAATGATATATTCTTCTTTGTTTTTTTTAAAGAATAACTTACTTTTGCAATTTTATTTTCTCTTCATATTCTTTGCATATAAGTTCTTGATCAATTTGAACACCTTTCAATATTTCATTGCGCATTTTTTCACTACTATCCTGATGAAGTTGAAGATAAGCTTCACGACATCTGAAAGTTATAAATAAGATTTTAACAATATACAGTACATAAATTATACAGATATATCATTGTCATATAGGATATTATCGTTATAATGCACATTATTATTATTATTCAGTAAATATATCTAATATAAAGAAGTTTGTTAGTATGTTCTTTATATATTTCAATGTTAAACAAATGCAATAAAACTTTTCAGGGATTATCCTCTCATCTGGAAGGGGTTGACAATTACTTTTGGTCAAATTAACTTCAACCTCACACCCACAACAGACCAGACCTCTTTCCATCTGACTAATAAGAAGATGGCATTCAAATAAAAAAATTATTTAATATAAAATTACCAGCAAGCCCAAAATATGTTTTTAGGGGTTTTTGCAAATGCTGAGTTTAAATATTTGGTTCATTTTTCATGAAATTTGATTGGCAAGTTGATTACCGTTTCATATTCAACTGTAAATAGTATCTTAGAGTTAACATTAGAACAAATTTGATGTCTTGAATCATCTTCTCATGCAGATGAAAGTCAATGATTACTTTCTGTTAAAAAAACATCAATTTCTGTCTGCATAACCAATGAAATTGCATCATTCTATACCATTCACATATCATAACAAACACGACAATGGTAAGCTAAAATAATCAAACTCTTAATATGATTTTCATTTCAATGTTTGTTGTTCTTACTTTTTGCCCAAGCAGCATTGGACATATCTCTAGTACAGGTATCACTAGTTTATGAATATAACAACTCCAGGTGACGTCAGGAAAAAACATAAATGCTAAAAATTTTAAAAGTCAAAAGCTTTATTGGTTTATTGGTAAACATTTTTCAAGTTAGCGAGGCTCCAAAAAATGTTATATCAATAAAGCTGACTCCTAAAATTTGTAGTGTTCATGTTTTCTCCTGATTACCTCTCACACTATGGATACTCATCATAAGAAATTCAAGAAATTTCAGTCAGATGCCCTTTGATTCCAACCTTCACCCTTAATCCAAACATAGGATTGGTCAAGGCTAACCTATTGCCCAGTTTTGATGGGTTTGTATAAATAACTAAAAAACATAAAAATATCTTAACTTATAAAAACATAGCATTTTAAATTTTAAATTTATATATAATAATTTTTAATATTACTTTCATTTTTATACTCTTCTAATTCAATAATAAAATCTTTATGGATTTTTATTGTTGAATTAGAAGAGTATTGCTTTGTCTTTGCTCCTGTTACTTGTTTTAGATAAATAAATTTCAATTCCTTCAAAAATATTGAAATTTTTCAGAACAGCAAACAAATATTCTCATAAATTAAATGAATAAATTAAAATACAATAAATTTAGAAATTGTAGATATAAATATTATATGAAACTAGCTTATTGTATTATTAGCTTATTAATTTTATTAATATAAATATTATATGAAATACTCATTTCTGCTATTAATAAATTCAACAAATATTAAAAATAATAGTAATTATTTTTAAAAAGTTTTGTTTACTCATTTATTGAATAAAATAGTATCATTTTCTTTGCTATTATTAATTTTATAGTCAGACTTTATTGAATCTCAAACTAACAAAAACTTCCTTAATGATTATTCAATGCATTCTCGAATTATATTTGAAGTAGATAGAATGTTTTAAAAAATTATCATCATCAAATTAAAAAATGAGAAAAGAATTTATAAAATATATTACATAAAATTTATAACTTTAACGATTAAATTCAATAATTGAGACATATCTATATACTTAAAAAGGAATAATTTCAGGTAGTTTATAAATATCTAAATTCTGAAATCTAGATATTTACAAAGTTAAAAATTATTTTCTTTCTAAATCAGATCAGCTTTTATATATAAACAATTATGTATAATAAATTCTATTTACATGAAAGGGTCCTAAAGTCAGGTTTAAAAGTAAAAAAAGACCATAAATTTATAGAAATTAAGTCATTTTAAACATGTAAAAATATATAAAATAAAGTTATAAAAATAAAATACTCTTAAGAAGTTATTAATTACTTTTCTAACTCAAAGTGTTTTTCAGTTTCCTTTTTTCTCATATTTTCTTCCATTTCTTCCTTCATCTGCTTTATAGTCTCTTCTAATTTCTTTTTATTTTCATGTATATCTTCTATTGTTTTATTTTTCTCCTATAAAAATCATATCATAATTGAAAAATGTGAAAAAAATTATATTTATTGATAGCTTCAGCTCAAAACTGTCTACTTCAAAAATACTAATCATTCCTAAATGCACTTTTAGTGATATATATGGATCATATTTTATACTCAGAGAAAAGAACTTTCAACAAGTAAGTTTGTTATTTTCCCAAGTCACATTCATATGTGCGTTTACATACACAAATATAACTCCAATTCATTCACCAACAACATTGATAAAAGCCAGAAGTTGTATATAATGATATATAAGAATGACTTAAAACAAAATAAATCTTGATAACTAGCTTAAATATGTTCATGATGAATATCTTTAATCTTTCCACAGATCATCTACAAGTCCCTACTTCAAGTTATTAAGATTTGTTTACACAAATTACAAATTAAAGAAATCAGTTTAAATAAATAGATATACAAGACTTATATGACATTAAAATAAAATTTAGAAAACATTACAATTAAATATTTACAGATATTATAGATATAATTCTTCACAACAAATGCAGACACTGCAAATATCTAAATCTTTACTTCATGTTTAGTAGACTTGCTCTTCCTGAGACTTTAACAAATTGGTGCAAATTTTATTATACCAGTTGAGAAATGGGTATTTTGGACCTGTCTCTCCAAAGGTAAAAGTCAAACAAAACTGACAAACATCTGGGGTGGGATTCTTTGTTGGTTTTGACCTGAGCTATGTCATTGACTTTTGTCTTTCAAGCTTTGTCAACCAAATGGAAAATATTTTAATTCTCTGGTACTTTTGAAACCGTGCTTGTAGTTATTAGTAGTAATTAGTATTAGTAGTAATTAGTATTACTACTAATAACTACAAGCACGGTTTCAAAAGTACCAGAATAAGAATTTCAAAAGCTGAAACGGCAACAATCATCAAAAAATGGATAAAGGTCAGCAAAAAAACAACAACAATTACAGAGAAAAACTGCAAGTTGGCTGAAGAGGGGCAATAAATGCCCGAAACGTGTGTAATAACAACACGTATCAACTGAATAAAACTTGATGATGAGTATTGCCAAGTGCCTGAAGATAAATACGATAATTATTTGTGTTTGAATTTGACTGAATAAAACTTGATGATGAGTATTGCCAAGTGCCTGAAGATAAATACGATAATTATTTGTGTTTGAATTACTATTTTAATTCTCTTCAAAAATTTATGATTTAGCATTTCTTTGCCAATCAACATGTATGTAAAATTATCCAACTATGAAATTGAAACTATCACATGCATGTGAAGAATACTTTATGTTCCCTTAATATTATATATTGCAGAACATTGCAGCTACCATCATCTTCCTTCCAGTAAAAACTGCATGGTTCTTCATATGTAGCCATATTTTGTTGTTAGAAGCCTGATGACTCTAATTAAACCACTCATGCCATGCGACTATGAATCCCCACAAGTTTATATAAAAAACAAAATATTTGACACAACCATCCATTTGAACATATAGAACCTAACTTTATATAAAGATGCTTTAACCAATAAAATAGTTCTATAATAATAATTATATTAATTTAAATATTGTTGAAAAAATTGTACAATGATAATCAGTAGTATTACATATTATAATACAGAAATACTGATAATCATAAGCTAAAATATTTTCTTGTTTTACTTACCTCCAATATTTGATGAAGTGATGTCATTTTATTTGTAAGATCTAATATTTCATTTTCTAAATTCAGCATTTTCTTAACAGAAACCTGAAATTCTTCATTCTGATTTTCGAAATTTTTAACTCTTGCCTAAATGAAATAAACAATAACAAAATTATTAATACTAATAATTATATTTTTAATTAATACTATTAATGCAATTAGCCCTTGTGAATAATTTGCATGTTTATAAAACAAATATTGAATGCAAAAAGTTTATATCTAGGAATCATTGCACTGTGAACAGAGACCAGGAAATATTAGGATTAAATTTTTACAATTGAATTTGTTATGATTATGATTTTTACAGTTCACCTCTGTTTCTATATGAGAGAGTTTTTTTTTCAGTATTAATAGTTAGTAATTACTTGCCAGCCATTGCCTCAAAATTAATACTTTTAAATTAAATATTAATTCCATTATGACAATGGAATTAATATTTAATTTTAAAATATTAATTTTAAGCATTTGATTAAAAAAAAAAGTAATAATTTTACAGTGAAGAACATTTATGTGCTTTTGAGAAGAACCATTAAATGTAAAAGTGACAGTGCTGTTAATCATTTTGAGAACTATGAATTTTTTATATTAAACTTTCAAAGTTTTAACACATTAAAATTTTTGTTATAACTATGAATTAGTTAATAAAAACACCACCCAGAGTGGGATTAAAAGTAAACTGTAAAGTTTCTAAGAATATATTATTGTGAAGAAACAGAGTAGTTGAAGCTGATGATGCTGCCTCTAGAGGACATTATAATTCTTTGTAGAACATATTTTTGAGAATGAATTAATAAAAAGAATCAATGCTCCTAAATCCTAAATCATATGCTTTGTAGAAATGTGTAAATTGTAAATGTCTGTGCAGTAGTTAATTAGATCCAAGGAATGTTAAACATTATTGTATTTATATATACAATATGATATTTTACACTAGCTTATTTATCTGGCATGTCTAAAGAAGTATGATATAGATGCTGTATGGGATAAAATTTCATTAATATTAAAATAGAATGTAATGTAAGTATGTACATATAGGTATATCTAACAAAAACAGAAAATTCTGTTAAATGATTACAGCACTAGTTATAATGGTCTCTCATAGCAATTTCAAGATAATAAATAAACAAATGGCAAACTCATTCAAAAGAATAGTCTCTTATCCCTGCAAATGAAACTGAAAAATGAGAAGAAATTAAGAAATTCCCTATTTTTGGCATAGCATAAAAACACAGTCTGTACTTTTTGCTTAATTTTTATAAAAACAAATTAATTTGCCAATATTCTCAACTTAAACACATGACTTTTACATTACTCTCTCAATGCTAATCAACTGTCAACTGCTATAAATGTTCAAAATTTTTTTCCACAATACTTAATTTACTATTTATTTAATTTAAATACAATTGCTTTTAAGATTCTGACCATCCAAAATATTACTTTTTCAAAAATTAAAAACATTTTATATAAATTTTTATCTCCTAAATACCATAGTACAAACACTCAAAAGTGCTTACAATACACACATGTATCAACTAAACTGAATAAACTTAGATGAAAAATTGCCTAGTGTTCGAGTGTTTGTGCTACGGTATTTAGGAGACAAAAATAACTACCGACACAGTTTCAAAATTACAAAAAAAAAAAAAAATATTCAATCAGATATTTAGTAAGTTTGATAAATTTTCTCATATAGCTGATTTAATCATAAGAATGGCTAATGTCTTGTAGTGAGTGGTAAATTTTAGAAAAAAACCAATATTTTATTTTGGATGTAATAGAGAACTACATAATTCTTCATTTTTTGTTTTTGATTAATTTTAAAAATAAACCAACCCATTGATTACTTATAATGCTCTGAGCTGATGATAAAACCATTAAATGAAATAAAAACCATTCTTATTTTATATATAATTTTCCAGCTAACGGTAAATAATTTTGGCTAACAAACAACATACAGAATGAATGCAATTCATAAATATAGAATCTTCCAAAAAAGAATGCTCCCAGTTAAAAACTTGTAATTATGTTAATTATTTATTGGAGACTGTTATAATGTGCATTAAAAGATTGGAAAACTGTCCAAGTTTCATATTTGCCCATTACAATTTCTCAATGTGTACATTTGTATCACACTAGCACACATCCAACTGATCCTCAAATTCTTCCATGTAACAACATATCTGTTCTCACAACTCTCACAGCAACCACAATTCTACAGCACCTCAGATTACTTATGTTTCACAATGATGATGAATGATTTCAACTTTGCTAACTGATAAACGAAAATGCCTTCTCTATTGTGGAATTGCCATTTTCATTTACAGTACTACTACATAGAGGTAGTAGACAACAAATGTTTGAATGCTGATGAGAAATGAAACACAGAGTTACTCTATTAATTGGTATATATATATATATATATACATATATCAATCAATAGAGATGTATGGCATACAAGAGTTAAATCTACAGACTTCGTTTTTGCTAAATAGGAAATGACATCATATTTTTTAAATTTCTTTTATGTTTTAAACATGAAGAATAACAATAGTAATAATAATACTAATGATACAGTAAAATAATAAAATAATTTTGTTACACATTGAAAAAAATCTGAAAATAGGCTTGAACCTACATTGCACAGCTCTTACATCTGGCGTCTTATCATCTACTTGGCTATATCAATTACGAAAATTGAACCTTCCAAAGACTTATAAGCTATACACACAATTTTCAGGAGCCCATTTTTCAGAAATTCTTGAGAAGTGTGTCCTATTACTTGGACAAGGATCTGTTTGTGTTTAGGGCTACATGCTCGCCAAGTTTCATTAAAATCAGAGAGGACGTCTGCCATCTCCTTGTAAGTCTTTGTCCTCTGGTTTTTATTCAAAATATTATTAGTGACAATAAAGCTTGATGACCAGGGCATCAGCTTACCATTCTGTGTTGGTAAGTTGATGCCTTGAGTCATCTGGCCTCATTGCCACTAATTTACAAGGGGTTGAATGGGCAATCAAACAATCCCAAGAATTTTTCAGGGGTGGTCTGCTCTATTCCTCCACACCATATCAGCTGCCTGTTCGTTGGCTTGTCTGAACCCATAATAGGTTTGAAAAAAGTCCTCTTAGTGCTCACAGGACAAAAAAAAATAAGCAGCAATAATTGTTTTCTGTAAGTCATAAAAAGAGTTTTTTTTAATTGGTCAAACAATCTCTGCTTCTCACTTTTTATATTTTTTTGTTAATTATTAACTTTTCAGCCAAACTAATATTTGTTTTCCTTTCTTCTAAATGCCTTCCTATGTTCTTTCATTGCACTTGTATGTATTCCCAATATGTCATTTGATATTTGTTCTGTCCAAGTCAACTGATATTTTGTACAAACCATTTTGTTAATCATAAGCAATGGAGGTTTGATTGTGATAAGTTTAACCTTATTCTTTCTAAAGTGCAGCATAAATTTAATTGTGAGAATCCAAGGCTGAATATTTTTTGCCTAAATTGACAGAATTTAATAATTTAACATATAAAGAAAAAAAACATTTTTTTCTAATTGCGAGCCACAGGGATTTCTTTCAGTTTAGAAGGAAGTTCCTTGTTGTTTTTCTCCTCAGGTGACTGGAATCATCCCTAGTGATTGGACGAATGATACCCTATAAATAGGGCCAAATATATGCTGGAAAAACCAAACTCACAAACAAAAAAGTTTGCGTCTGGACCAAAAGAGTTCCCCATCAAATGCAAGAAACCATGTCCAGCCCTACCAAGAAAAAAACCTCCGAAGAATCTAAGAAACAGAAATGAGGTATTAAATTTGACTCAAATACTTGTAAATTCTCTCTCTCATTAGAAACTAAGGCAGATGGACAATAAAGTAGTTGATTTACTAATAATTGTAGAATTAAAACTTAAAGAAGATTATGTAACTTTTATTTAAAGTTTTGTGTTATCAACGATCTTTTATTAATAAATTCGTTGTGGTGGTCTAGAAATGACAGTCTAGTTTTATGGTCTAACTCTATGATCAAAATAGTCTCTCCTATAAATTTTGGAAGTAGATTTAAATATTCATTTGTGTCTTATAAGGTCTGCATAATTGACTAAGCAGTATGAAGAATACTGATTTGAGAAATTTAACCAATCTCTTAAAATATAAACAGTCATCACAAAAGTGTGATGGGGTTGACCAGAGACCTGAACATCTCACATACTGGTATCCATCCCATCCTTTATGTGCTTCACATCAGATGATTTTCACTAAATCCTTTATTATTTTGTAATCAATGCCCTATACATTTTTGTCAAATTTTGGAATTGTTTAGTTTTGTTTTCCATGTTGAAACAGTTTAGCTCTGTCTTTCAGTTGAAAACATTACTACTGTTTTCTATAAACTAGTGTTATAAATGTACCTTTCTCTACTTTGATTAAAATATATAAATAATGAATGCTAGAAATACCAACCTGGTCAATTCCTAAGGTCAATCCAACCTTATTCTTAAGAATCATATATCAAATAATAATTTTAAATGAATTAGATTATTTGATAATCAATTAAGTGTCATCCCAATTAATATGTGTGGCATGACAATAATAATCTATTACTATATGAGACAGAGATAATAAAATATCTTAAAATTAATATCAATCTCCAATATTGGTTTCTGTTTCTATTTCAATATTGAAACAGAAACAATGACAGGTTTTTAATAAAAATTTTATNTGACATCACAATTATTAATTTCTTGTTCTATATGCTATAAATGAGAGGAATAATAGTACTAATAATAATGCTAATGATGTGGTAAAATAATAAAATAATGTCACATAAAAAAACTAAACTAGAATTCCAAAGGTTCAAATCTACATCAACTAGCTCTAGAGCATTGTCTATTAAGCTGGAGTCACACTTACAGAAAAACACCACTGAAAATGTAAACTGAAAGCCAAAACCAGAAAAATTTTACGTCCCTCACCCATAAAATTTCTGGAAAATCAACTCAAGAGGTGCTCAGTGGAAAATTTTTCTGCTCATGTAAAATGTAAATATTGACCAATCAGATCCCTGGGAGTGATGACATGTTTATAATGTCACTGACGTCACTGCTGTGCTGCCCAAGGCTGAAAACAAGAAATCACGTGAGCTGCCCAGCTGTCATTTTGACATCTCCACTGATAGTTGCATTGCTGCTAGTAATGTGAACTGACATTCTAGATGGTGAAGAAGTTTGTTATTTTTTTTTATTATTATTTTTTTTGTTTCACAATTTTACATGCAAAACACGGAATTCACACTGCACAGAAAATTACCATTACGGTATGCAAGCTTTTTTTCTTTACTCAGTTATCGCCACTACTGGACATGAAATTTTCAAATTCTTATAAGCTAAACACTAAATTTTCAGAGGCCACTTTTTTGGAAATGTTTGAAAAGTGAGTCCTATTATTTTGATGAGGAGCCATTTGTGTTTAAGGCTAGGTGCTAACCAAGTTTCATTCAAATCAGAGACCTGAATTTCTGTCCTCCTCCTTGTAAATGACAGTTTAACATTTAATTAATTAAAATGCCTCAATGTCCTTTTTCTTACTAAAATATAAATTTTTGTCTATAATTTTGTATCTTCTATTATCAGGACTTATTACACTGGCTTTACAGATAATGCTACAAAGTTTAACAGAAAACAATTTTTATTTTATTCCATATACTTGTAAATTCTTTCTCTCATTAGAAGCTAAGGCATGAAATAAAAGCTGTTATGGAATAAAATAAAAATTGTTAAAATTGTTAAAAATCCGTTAAACTTTGTAGCATTATCTGTAAAGCCAGTATAATAAGTCCTGATAATAGAATATACGAATTTATAGTCGAAAATTTACATTTTAGTAAGAAAAAAAAGAACATTGAGGCATTTTAATTAGATTAATTTGATGATCAATAATCATTTGGTATAGGATTCTATTATTAAATTTCATATTAATACTGTAATTTTCAATTTAGTTCTCTTTTACCATATCTTAATAACCTTATGCCTATTATAGAATTATAATTAATATTTATTAGTTTGAACTAATTCACAATTGTGAAAAATATTTTGGGCCACTGTTTTAAATTGTCAAAATAATAATCTCAGATTACTGTCAGTTTTTCCAATTCTCCCACCTTTCTAAGAATTTTCATGATAGAAAGTGAGATATTCTAAAACAAACTGCTATGAATTGCTTGCACATAATTCAACAGGCTACATCTTATTCAGAGTTAACTTAATAGTCTAGAAATAAAAATATAAAGTAAAATAAATAAATAAATAACTAAAATAAAGTAAAAGAAATAAAAATATAAATATTAACACACAAAGTGAGTTCTATTTTGTGGTTTTATATATCTTTAAAATACTAAATGATATAATGAAATACAACTGCTGTTCACAGAATATATGCATCTGTAAATAATAATCAATAATTATTCATTATTCCCATTTTGTGTTATTGTGATTCTGTCATTCTGAGAGCGGCTATTAGGTACAAAAGTATTTAATAATTATTTGCAAGTCACTAGAATAATCATAATATATATCATGAGAGTCCAACAATTCAGCAGCATCACTTATTAATTCTATGTATATTATATATATATTGAATATAATATTTTGTTTTTCAATATTTAACAGGAAATATTTGTTTTTGTATTGAATGATTGAAATTACTGTTACTATGTTGTTACAAGTTTTTAAAAAATGGTTAGTTTTAATTATTTCTCAATTTTTTAAACATTAAAAATAAAATTAATTTTTCTAATGTTTTAAATGATCTAATAAAAAAATTATTTAAATTTTTATTACTTCAGATTCTTTGACTTTTTCTTCTAAAGCTTCCTTCTCTTTTTTTTCTTTAACAAGTTCTCTCTCTGTAGAAGCCAACTGTAACTGTAATATTCCTAACTGATTACGTCTGGACCGTAAGTTTAACAATGATTTTTGAAGTTCCAATTTTAGCGAACTTGTTACATCATCCACATTTTGATATCTAAACAATATACAAAAAAGTTTATCAGTTATAAATTCCTTTCTGTTAATTAAATAATAATTTTACATTTTATTATTTACCAATCCATTATTTATCCATTCACCAATATCTATATTATGTAATTTTTGGACAGTCCTTATGTGTATAAAAACAGACTAATTTAAAATTAATTGCATTGATTGGTTTTGCATAAGATAGATACTTAGGATAAAAAATTATGGAATGAAAAATTTTAATTAAAAACTTACTTTTAAAACATTAAAAAAGTAAATTTAAAAAAGCAAAATGGAACTGCACCGATACAATATTCATTAACAACATACCATCATAAATAAACCAAAGAACCACTGATTTCTGTTCAATAAAATCAATGTTTACATGAACTCACCTATCTTGTTTCCTGAGACCCAACTGTTCAATTGAATCATTCATTTCTGTAATTTTAGAATTTTCAAATATTTCAAGTTTCCATATATTTTCATAATTTTCTAATTCTGATTTTAAACTTTTCATTTCTGCCTGTAATTTTCCAAATAAAAAAGTATTAATATAAATTGCATGCTAATTATATTTCAGAAGTAGAACTAATTAACTGTATTAATTGTAAACATACAGGTAACCCCCGTATAACACGGCACTTCTAAAGCACGGATTCACTCTAACACGGTTCGAGAATTGGGACCATCCCCCGTATAACACGGTACTTTTATAGCACGGATTTACTCTGACACGGTTCAAGAATTGGGTAAAACCCTCAGACAACATAAAATGTAATAAATTTTTACATACTTAAGTAATAATAGTTCACAAAAATTATTATTTTCGTGAACTATTAGTACTTAAGTATGTAAATTTTCTCTTCTCGCCTTCTGTCGACACACGTGGTCCTTCTCGAAACTTGTTTCAATGTTGCCAGATCGCGACGCTTCTGCTTCTGATGTTGCCGAATGTTTTTCCCTTATTCCATACTTGCTTTATTCTTCATAAGTGCTTAGCACCATATAAGGAAATTTATAAAGACCTTTTAACTAGAAGCAAGCAATCTAAAATTACATACATTTTGCAAAAGGTAAAGCATGGATCTGAAGATAATGTAGAAAAATGCTCAGAAGATAAGGATAACTTGCCAAAAAGAAAACGCTCTCGGTTAATTAATAGTGTTTTTAGTGATGACGAAGAAAACATTGTTTAATTTATATTAATATGTATCACTTAAAAAAATTTTAATGAAGATATTTATCTTAATTATGAAAACATACTAGCATGTTTTTTAATTTTTGGAACCTAACCCTCCTTTTCATATTAGTTCTTTGTTTCGTATAACACGGATTCACATAACACGGCAATTTTTTGGAACGTAACTACCGTGTTACACGGGGGTTACCTGTACATACATTACCAAAATAGCTAGTAATTCTTTTATATAAATGAGCACTACTTGATTAATACATAAATCCAATAAATTACAAAATAAACAAAAGCAATATCTTAAAAACTGTGTAATTTGTTATCTTGGATATGTAATTTATTAATAAAAATTTTTGTAAGATATAAAAACATGTTTAAAACTGAAAAATTTTACTATGTATACATAATTTTCTATATTTCATTGTCTTTAAAAATAATTTGCATTTAAACTTTATTATTCTCTGAGCTGTTTGAAAATATTAATAAACATCTAAATTTAAATAAACTGAATTTGAATTATTTTTAAATAAGACTGTTTTAACAGATATAATAAAAAAATATATTCAAATGAATATTACTATAAGTAAATATATACTGTATATATATTTATATAAATTCATAATTTGCATTTATAAATAAATCTAAATTTTAATCTTACTTCCAACATTTTTAAATAGTTTTCAGCTTCACACTTTGAAAGTTTTAATTCTTTAAGTTGAGCCTTCAAATTACTAGTTTCTTGAAATGTACCTGAAAATTAAATTTTATACATTTAATGAATTAATAATAAATTTATTTAAAAAGATCAACATCTTAATAAATAATTAGATAAAAGAGAGCATAAGTATTATGGCTACTTTGCACTAATTAATTAATCATTAGGAATGAGAAAACAAATACCTCAATTATTATTTTCCCAAAATTTAGAATGTAAAAAATTATATATAGAGTGAGGAAAACATCTTATGACTTACAATTATTTGGATTTTTTGAACAAAATACTAAACAGTTTAAATTACATCCTAAATTATTTAAAAACAGAAAATTTTAATGATAAACATTTGTCAAAGAATTTTGTTCAACGAATATTCAAATTTCCTGGAATTTTCTTGAGATTTCCAGATATGCAAATAAAAAGTTCCTTAAAAACTTCAGGATATTCAAGAATTTCCACCTCAATATCTATGTATATTATACTTTTTATAAAATAAACTTGAATCTATTCGTCAAAATATAGAGTCTAAATCTTGTCATTCTTAATATTAATGCTATCAAAATTTTGATATTGAAGTAAATTAGTTACATATAATTAAGAACAAAATTATACAATTATAGTAATCCCTCCATTTACACAAGTAATTGGTTCTATAAAAACAGTGTATAAATGAAAACTACATACATGTAGTCATGGATAGCTGGTTATGTAGAGACTGTTAAAAACCATAAAACTAAAATTGCCCACTTGGCAATTTTGATCAACTGTCCTGAATAAGTTGATGTATTCAACTCATTCAGGAAAGTTGCAGAAAGTTTTCAAGGAATTTTGCAGAAAATCTCTGATTTTGACTAAAAGCACGCTTCTCAATCAATTTTATCAAATTCAGTCAAGACACAATGAGATCACTAACAGTCGATAAAAAAGGACTGTTCAAGAAAGAAGCAGTTTCTCTCCACTCAAGTTCACCAAAAAGATGAACTTGGGAAATGAGAGGATCTGCTTCTTATGTTTTGCCTCTTCCTTTGGATACATCCTAATACTGCCTCAATCACAAAACATCAACAGAACTGTCTCCTATTGTGCTAACAAGAACATTTGCCTAAATTGTATCTACCAGGAACTGTGAAAGAAAGAAACCTACAACTGAGTGAAATCCAAGTTGCTCCAAGTATTTGGCACTTTGTGTGTGATTTTATTGTAAACTCTCTCTCTCTCTCTCTGAATAGATAGCATTTATGTGTTAAGCACTTTACTGATAAATGTATTAGATATTGTATTGATGAATGTTAGGTGTTTGTTATTATACTATACTCTTATGTTAAATAAATCTTTGTTGTTTTAATGTTAAATTAGTAATCTGAATGAATCATTTCTGGGTTGTTTGTCTCTCGACTTCCTCCTTTGTTCTCTTATCCAGAGTCCCTATAAGAGATGTGCTTGCACTCACTTATAAAATCTCCATAAGGTTTCTTGTGAGCCAGAATTCATAGGTGGTACCACAATTTTCTTGTCACATGAATATGTATAATTACAATATGTTATACTAGTACAGTAGAACCTCGATTATCCGGACTAATTGGGGATGAAGGTAGTCCGGATAAGGAAAAATTCTGATAATCGAAACAAATACTTTAATTTGTCTTTTAATGATAATATCACACGTTTTCTTTTCGATGACATATCGGTAATATTAAAAGTAAATACTGTATTTAAATCGTGATCAAATTTTCAAAAAACAAATGTTTGTATTGAATTTGGACTACTACTGACCAACACTAACAGACTACCTATTGTTTAAAAGGCCCTCTGGTGGCACAAAAAGACAGATTTTATAAAATAAAAAGCAGTTGAAACTGTATTTTTATGAATAAAAATTTGACAAACTATTTATCGTTTTATGATGAGTAAAATTTTTTCATCGCGTTCGCGGCTTTTAAGTAATGCATCAACTTTCGAGGCGCAAGGCCCTTCAGACCACAAGGCATAGGCAGTGGCCACGTCGTCCATGCCTTATGTCGCCCTTGGTCATAGAAATGATGTAATTTGAATATAAATTATTTATAAATATGTATGTTAAGTTATATTTTTATTACGACATAAAATATATTTAAGAGTTTACGATCACTGTGCTGGGTGAGACGCTGTTGAAACAAAAAAGTTATGCATTCCATCACGTACATAAACAGTGTTGTAATTCGCAGAGTGCAAATCAGCAAATTCGTAAAATTTTTGTTTATTTTGAACAATTCAGATAATCGAAAATCTGGATAATAGAGATCCGGATAATCGAGGTTCTACTGTATATATACAATGTATATTAATTACTTTAATGCACTTAACCCTTAAAAATTTTAAATTTATGCACTGTTGTGAAATTTGTCCAGTTTATTATTTAAATTTATAAATTTTTTAAACATGTTAAGGTAAATTTATATAAATGGAGGATTACTGTGTATTAAATTAAAAATTATAAACAGCTTTGAACAAATAACAATAATGAATAATTTTATTACATAGAAAATACTAAGGTGTTTGGTTATTTTAAGTATTTATATTCCAGTAAGTTATTTGTTTTATTATTACATAGATATTGAGTGTATCTGGAAGATAAAATATTGACTATAATCTGCATCTGAACTTTAGCAATCATTCAATTTAGTAAAAATATAGGTTGGACTGAATTTTTATGTGGCTAATCTGTGAATTGTTCATAAAGAAAAGTCAATTTAAAATTATGATGTGGATTATTGAATGGAGCCTATTGTGAGATCCGAACCATGTGTAAACCAATTTTTCACTTTCCACCTAAACTTTTGACATATTTTAAATAAATTTATCACCTTCCCGTTAAAATAACATTGTCAGAAAAAAGGAATCAAATATCTCATCAACAACGATAGAAAGTAATAACTCTCCCCTTTAATGTAAACATTCAACCATCTAAACAATGTCATTCTCATACTGCAAGATTTAAAGTTTACGATAACATACAATTTCTTTACTTTATTATGGTCCCGGGAACACCTTTCAACTTTCACACCTGCTAGAATAACCTCTAGCTCTAATAACAGTCCATCATATGACAATTTTTCCAGGCCAAATCAACATAAGCCCACATCATCCCCCCGCAAGGGGAGTCTCTCACAAGCTTGACTATACTGAATAGTGATATCGTCGAGCTATCTTTATTAAGTGTGGTCTATGAATCAAAGTTGGGATTTTTTTAAAATCGTGCACCGTCAACATCAAGGACTGATATGAACCTCCATGGAATAATCAAGAGGTATGATATTAAGCATGTAAATATTAAGCATGTAAACTCTCTCTCAACCCCTAAAACTTGTACTCGAAAGTTAGGAGAGCTCGAAGTTATGTTGATTTTTGTAGTTGTAAACATCCTTCTTTGTTATGTAATAAATCTTTGATTTGCTTGTTAAATGGTGTCCTTTGCTCGTTTATTTGCCTGCACCTTACTGACAACCCCTCTCACCTCCTCCACTCGACTTGACAAAAAGAATCCCAACCCCTCAGGATCATAGAATGTAACAAGCCATCCACTGACAAAGTGAGCAGGTTTAACCAACCTGTTGCCAACAAAAAGAGGTACGGCCTCGTCATACCTCCAGCGTCCCACACGATTATCTACCAATTTTGCAACTTGAAATTTATTATGAAATAGTTGAATAGTTTTTTCTTTGTTCAAAATCATCAAGAGCATATTTATAAAACTTGGAAAATCCTTTTCATGCTAAAAGTATATCTGCATCATTATATCTGCATATACATTCATGAAACACCAAAGACACATGCTATATCTGGAATCTTCTCTCATTTATTTCCTGTGCATCAATCCACACTTCAATTGATGTTATTAGACACTTCTACTTATTTTCTATAGGACTAAGTTTTAACCTAGTAACACCATTATTAACTAAAATGTAGAAACTTGAACTTGTAACTTGAAAAATAATGTTTCCAGTAATTCCTCCTCAGTACATCATTACTCTTTTTAAAACTATTTGAAAGCTGGCTTTCAATTTTCATGTATGTTGTTTCTACAGAGAATAGAAACTTAATGATTGATTTTCCAGCCCAGATTGCTGAAGGTTATTTTGCCAACTTTTAAAATTTTTTCTCTTAGATTTTTTCTGTTTCTTCCATGAATTGCTTTTGGAAGTGTAATGGAAGAAAGGCAAGAAAAAAATTAAATGTTTCAGAAACTATCTTCTAAATTACATATTAGTGTCATATTTTCAATGTCATTTGGATGTACAAAATATAAACTGATGAGAATTATGCAAATGTTTTATTCCAGTTCTAGCAAATTTTTAATTTGCAGATTATATATCTCACATTTAAAAATATTTACAGTGGAACCTCTATATTTGTAATATTTGATATTCATCACATTTTGATGACTCCTCCCATATTCGTCAGTATTTTCTGTATTCATCGTCATTCCCAACACTGGCAGTGGCACTACAATCACACGCCCATGCCGATCAGCTAGCAGTGTTAGATTAGCGTTGCCAATTTAGCTAATCTTTTGCTAGATTTAGTGGATTTATGAATAATCTAGCTATGCAAGTTATCTAAATTATAATAGCCTAGCTATTTTATAATGCTATTTAGACATTAAAAAAATCAAATAAATTTAATGGAAACAATACGATTTGAATATTTTTATTAAAATGTTTAGCTATATATTTGAATTTTGAGTTGGTAACACTATGCCAGCTAGCTGTAGTTAATCAGTCTGCTTTGTATGATCATTGTGTGTATTCTTGGTTTATTGCATTGATTATTTTCAAAAACTCAAATTCCAATGGCTCCAACAAAGCACACTGAAGAAAAACAGCAAATAAGGAAAGCTGTTAGAACAACAATAGAGATTAAAAGAAAATTATTGCTAAGTCTGAAAATGGACAAAGTAGAGAGGTTGCAACCAAAGTTTCATCTCTAAAACATGAATATCGAATGCTGCTATCTTGTAAGCCTAGAAGTTTGACAATGGCATTTGGAATGTCATTGGAATAATGCTCAACATTACAAATGCCATTATCAAACTTCTAGGCTTACAAGATGGTGGTGCTCAACATTCGATGTTCACATTTTAGAGATGAGAACTTCGGCTGTAACCTCTCTAGTGTTTCCAACTTACCTAATGTTTTAATTGATGCTATGTCTTCTTCTTAACAATAATAACCTTACACTTCTTTTCATTCTACCATCATACTGTATTTATTTAGTACAATAAAGATAAAGTTTTACAAACAACAAAATTTTTATTCTTGTATCTTTTTTTAGGATGGGAACAGATTAATTGAATATCAGTTATTTATTATGAGAGAAATTGTTTCTATATTCATCATTTTCCATATTTGTTAGATCCTTAGAAACAGATTAATGATGAATATAGAGGTTCCACTGTATTTGGCTTTATGTGAAAATAGGATTTAATCATTCATAATTTCACTTTGTTTAATTGTTGTTCACTGCTGATTTAACTATTATTTTAACATATTTTATAACTTTCAATCTGTTTAAATTAATAAACAGACTAAGTAATAAATAATCATAGAATATTTTCATAAATATCAACTGATTTATGAATTTTTTATTCATGTGATTTCTTTTTCAATTTGTATTTGAAATTTAATAAAATATAAAATCTCAAATTTCATGATGATTTAAATATATTTATTTTGCAGAAAATTTTAAAATTATTTCATTGCAAAAATTAAATATTTACCTGTTTCAAGTAATTCTTGACATTGTCGTTGACTTGTTTCTAAACTTTTAGTCAATCTATTAATTGTTTCAACTTTTTCTAATTTTAATTCTTGAAGCATTTCAGCATGGTGCAACAAATCCTTCTGTAAAAGTTCATTTTCTTCTTTCTATAAAAAAAAATTTCTTCGCTTAATAAATTCGTTACAATAAGATATAATTCTAATTCTTTAAATTTTAAATTCTTAAAGTTATTTTTGAAATGAAATTCTTGAATATTTATAAACCAAGGATAAAATTAGAATAAATTAATTTTCTAAATTAAAAAGATCAATTTACATTCTAGATTTTGCATTATTGTTGAATTGCAATTTGAAGTTACCCAATTAAAAATAATTCTAATAATAAATTTGAGTTTCATAAATATAGGATATTCTACTTTTTAAATGATTCATGAAATCTGGCAATGTTTGTCTACTGATATTTTGAAAAACATAAAACAATTTGGCATGTCAAAAACTACAATCATCAATAAAACATAGTATTTTTAACACCAGAAAGAAAATGTAATCTAAGAATAAGAATATACGAATAAAATATGGGATATATATAAAAATATAATAATAATAATAATAATTACAGTGTATATGTAAATATGTTACGCTGATTATAATCCTAGAAAATTTTAATCAATGTAACATATTAACATATATATTGTAATTAAAAGTAGAAAAAAAATCATGTTATGTCATTACATATATTATTTCATTGTTTTTTCTTTTAAAAGAAAGAATAAAAATAAACATAATGTTTATTGATATCATTAGCATATTTGATACATTTTGAATTTACTATTAATTTTATCTATTTTAACCTTAAAAAACACAATAGATAATTTTAGTTAGAATAGGAAATGAGAACATGAAAGAAAAAAATTGTACTAGTACAATTAGTTCTCAATAAATGAAACCAAGCAGAAGGCATGAAACAACATTGAAAATTTCAATATTCTAAAATTCATGGGCAAACATGAAACAACATGCTTTCTTGAATAAAAATAAATATTGAATGATGCAGTTTGCACTTAAAAATTGTGATGCTTTGTCCAGAGATGTTCTCAAACTGTGTTGTAAGAACACCATGTTGTACAGGGGATATCCCCAACTTTCAAACTGTGTTATATGAGGAATACCTGTATTTCTTCATATTTCATTTTCATTTAAATAAAATATTTACAATACATAATTCAAATCAAATCAAACCAAACTTTATTGTATATTTGGCCTATATATTTATGTAATTGATTATCACCATAATCAATATATAACATTGTATTAAATATTTAAAAGATATTAGAGAATAGAATGACAGGTAAATTACAATATAAAATATATTTTAATTGTTTTGATTCCTAGTTACCTATATTTTCACACTATAACATTGTTCTACATATAATAACATGGTAGAAATACAAGTATTATTTGTGTAATTTTTTTAGTATTTTTGCTCTGATATAAGAGAAAGATCTTTGAAGATATTATTCACTCATGTTTAATGCAGTTATAAAATGATAATAAATCAAATTCCCTTTGATATAAAAACAATGAAAAGTTGGTAGAAAAAATATTTGATGAAATTGTTGATTTATTGTACATACTGAATAAAAAATAAAAATATATAAATATTATGACAACACAACGAGTTTCACATGTTGAAAAGATATGGATACTTGGTTTTATAACATGATACATACATTAAGTATTATATATATAATACTTAATACTACACTATAATAGTTATTGGCATATGACATATGCCAATCAGATGTCAATATTTATTGTCACTGAATTATTATATTCAATATTAGTATCTTTATTATATTAGTAGATGTCTTTCAGATACAAAATAGAATTGATCATATGTAATATGTGAGAAGAGTCTTTTTCAAATCTAAACTTACAATATCTTTTTGAAAGTTTTCTTTAAACATAAAATATTTGCTGTAGCTATTCTTGCATTTATTTTTTAGTCATTCTCTTTATCATTGCTATTTGTATTCATATAGGTAAATTACCACTTTATCAGTTTATATGTATTTAGAAGGTAAGTTTGGCCTAACTATATTTTAGCCACGATAGGAATAAAATAATGATAGTATCAGATAGCACCATCTGTACGTGGACTAATAAAAGTTTTTCCTGCCAATTTGCATAAAACGCTTGGAAACGCTCATTTTAGTTAGACTCATATTAATTTGCATCATGTTCACCTCTTTCAGAACAATGCACCAGTGCACAGGACTGCCATTGCTAAGGCTGCTGTAAAGGAGTGTGGGTTTAAGAAACATGACCATCCACCCTAAAGCCTGGACCTGGCTCCTAGTGATTATCTGTTTCCAAAACTCAAAAAAAATCTTCAAAAAGTGGTGATGAATAGTTGCAAGAGGTTGTTTATGAGCATTTGGCAGAAAAAACTACAGACTATTTTTTCAAAGATATTGAAATGCTAATTCCAAAATGTAATAAGTGTGTTAAACTGCAAGTAGACTACATTAAAAATGACATCATTGTTTTATATATATAACATCTAAAACATAGTTCGGCTGGAAACTTTTGGCATCTACCTTGTATATACATATACACATATACACTGATATCAGGTATATTATATCTGGTATTTTAAAATAATAAGTCATCTTATGTATTCAATATTTTAAACTTCTCTTAAATTTAACTGGATTAACTGAATATTACTAGATAATTTAACTGATAATATAAAAAAATGAAGAAAACATTTAAAATTATAAATATAAAATAATAAGAAAATTATAATTACCTACAGTTAGCATTAAAAACTAGAATAATTTGTTTTTTATCTGAATTATAGTATAAAAAAATAAACTATTTTGTCTAATATTATAATAGTTAATATCAAATAGCTAGAATGCAATATACTACAAATATATACAACCTTAAGTTTCAGCAATATAATTTAATTTAAAATGCAAACATTTTCAATCATTTTAAACAATCATTATCAGGCAAAATGATAAAGAATAAAAAAAAGAAAACAAAAATTATTTATTCTTTTTATCTGCTTGACAATGATCATCTAAAATGATTGCAAACATTTACATTTTAAATTAAATTATACTGCTGGAACTTAAGATTATATGTATTTGTAATAAATTGATATTGATTTCATTACAATTAAATTTAAAATTATTATATATATGCAGTTTTGATCAGTGAGGATTTTGGTTAATGCAAGTTTGTTCTGAAGGTGTATAATGTTGCCAGCTCAACAAAGCTCACAACTAGCAATGCTAAACAAATCTGTTCTCCCCACTTCTGCTACTGTTTATTAGTAAGGAAAAGTTAGTCACAGTATTCTTAGTGCACTTTGAATAATTTTATTTCTATATTCACATTTGGTGTAATTTCTGCAAACATTTCTGTTTTAATACTCCAGCTTTTACTAAAAATTCTACAAAAAAAAAAAAAAANAAATGTATTAAAATAGTAAGTGCTTTTTTTGCTTGTAACCCAAACATTTTGGTGGGGGTCAATATGAGGTTCCGAAAACTTGTAGGGGGTCAACAATCAAAAAAGTTTGGCGACCACTGACAAACAAAATAAGGCAAAAAAAAAAAAAAACAGCTTATTTACAGGGAATGCTTGATAAATATTTTGATTGATTTCTAAAACTTTTTTGGACTACTTTAGGAGTTAGTCTAAACTCTAATCAATTTTTAATGTTATTTTCTGATTTGTTTTAAATTTTGTGTGCAACTGCACTGAACTTTGTCTAAAATCTTTACTTAATTAATATTTCTTTAACATATATCTTTTTAAATTGGATTTCTTCATTTCTTGTGTTTTTATTCCACCCAAGTGAATATAAATGTAAAAATTACAATTTTAGCTGACTTGTTAATGATCTAATTCACAAATTAATTTATTTCCCATTGATGGTTAACTTCAAAACATGTGGTTTAGACATATGCAGAGCCAATTAACTGTATATATTCAGTTATCTGTATTTTATTTCAAAATTATTCATGTAATAATTCAATGTATAATAATTTTAAAATTCACAAAATTAATAAACTTTGTTTTACCTTTTCATCTAATTCATGTTTATATTTATCATTTTCTGTCTGTAACATTAATATTTCTTCCTGATGATTGCTTTTCATGCTTCTTATAACAGATTCATATTGCTCTCTAGTTCTAACTAGATTTTCTGACTGACTGAGTTCTGATATTTGCTTTTGTAAAGATGAAATTGTTGCTTCGGTTACATGTAATTTTTTTATTATCTGCAAGAATAATTAATTTTAAAATAAATGAAAACTTAATTTATGTAACATATCACTAAAATTTATACATATCCTATCAATAATACATAATGGCCTCATTCTTACAAAATAATATAACACACAGAATAAGTAAAAAAAAAAATTTTGTATTTCCCATTAAAAAAATTCTAGATCCTCATCAAAATATCAATAAAATTAGAACTAGACAAAACTAATAAATTTCATTGTATTTCAAGATTAGTTGCAAATACTATTGGCATATTATGATTACTTGTAAACTTTATCAACTTTAATTAAATCTATAAGAATAAATCTTCTAACATTTAACAATATATTTTTTTAAATGTATAATCATGCTAGTTTAGTAGAAAAAATATTAAAATTTTACAAGTAAAGACATACTGAATACAAAACTGAAATTTTAAACAACATACAAATGAATTACTTGATATCTAACTGAATGAAACAACTTTTATGCTATAAAACATTTTCATGTCTATCATTATAAACTTTAGACATCACAAAAGATATTTTTTGACTATTAAATAATATTATCTGATAAAATTCAATTTTGAAAAGTTTTGAATCCTTCAAATTTGTATTTGAGTTCAATCTATTAAAACAATCTTGAATATGTTTTAAACACACAGTTTTGCCAAGCTGTTTTAAATGCATTATATAACATTTTATGAATTAAAAATGATTAACAATCAAAATCAGATTCAGCAGTGAGAAAATATTTCACATTCCACTATAAATAATGTATCTGTACATTTAAATAATGTTCGGATACAGTAGTACATCTGAAGACGACCAATAGAATTTAGATTAAAAATGTTTGTGATGATTAAAATAAACATTTCTCAGCAAGCATAAGGTGATTACGAAAATTTGTTAATTAAAAATTATTTAATTTTTGTTTACATTAATATGTTTAAAAGTTGGTATTTCATATTGTTATGTGTAATATGTAAATTTTACATCAGAAATATTTATTTGCTACTTTTACACAGAGTTTTAGCTTTTTTAAAAATTTGGTTGCAATCTTGTAAAATATATTTCTTTTATTCTTACATTTGCCATTTTTCAAGAAACAATGGATCCTTAGAAAAAGCAAAAAATGTTTTGAACTTTTATAAGTAAAAATATTTTTCTAAATCAGTTTATAACTTAATTTTTAATTGAAAATATGAATATTTTCCATCAATTTTATTTTGCAAGCAATAGATGGATGATAAATATCTTAAATATTTTCAAACAAACACACTTATTATTTCATTTCATTTTTATCCAAATGTGTCATCAAAGCATTGCATAACTAAAAATATTCAGACCAGGTTAATAAAGTGAATAAATGACTATTTTAATATTTTTTTATTACATTTTTAGAAAAGATAAACATTTATAATTGAAATACTTTAAAATAAGTTTAAACAGAATACCTCCTCCTTAGCTTCTTTTTCATAATTCAACTGTATTTCTAAAGCTTTTATCTGTCCTTTTAACAATGAATTTTCTTCTTCTTTCAATGCAAGAGTTTCACGAGCCTTTGTCATACTCAAAGCAATATTCTCCAAATCTCCTGAAAATTGCCAAATAAATTTCACAGCATTAGTATTAAACAGAAAATTGAATGTAAAAAAAATATATATATATATATATATTGGTGTTCTGTTTTGATGTTTCTATTTAATAAATACTTTAGTGATTATTTATGGATTTCTTTAAGTTGAAGTTTGATTATATATATATATAATCAAAACATCAAAACAGAACACCAATATTCTAAATATATTGAGTTGAATCTGATTAATTCAAACCTGCTATTATTTTCCTTAAAATTTCTTTTAACCAGTATTTAAAAAATGCAGTTAATTCCAAGTTTTTAGTATAAAGTTTAATAATTCAAAAGTAGTGAATTTCATATTTCAGCAATAAAAGTTAAAGTAAGAAAGCATCATGAATATAATGTAAAGTATATAATGCATGCATTTCAGAAATATTCAAAAATGTACATGTTCTCTAGATTCCTGATTTTGGGTAATTCAGTAAACATATATATTTTTTAAATTATATCCTTTTTTAAAAGAATTATATGTAGTTAATTATTTTGTTAAATTTTTTGCCAATAGATGGTACTATATATAAAGTCAGCAACCAATCAGAAATTAATTGATATATAGAAATTTAATCGATAATTTGGGTGGGACGTACAACATGATCTAAGTTAGAAATATTTGAATGTGACTGCTAAGTTCCATAGCAATTAATCAAACATCCTAGGAGTGTATAGCAAACAAACAAACATCCTCTTTTATATATAGATTATTATTTATTCTATTTTGCTGTTTGCTTTTGTAAAAAATGTATTTGTTAAGTTTTGAAAATTTTTTATGATAGCTTCTGAAGATGATGAATCTGTTTTGATTCCAGATGTTTCAATAATGTTATTCAAAGCTACAAAATATACAGAAGTAACAGCAGCATAAACAATTTTTAATTTACCTTGTGTAACAGTAAGTTGATGTTTCAAAATATGAATTTCTCTTGAATTTTCTTCTTTAATTTTATCTAATTCATTATTAAGTTTTTTTATTTCTCGACCCCGAGCATTGTAAAGAATTTCAAGTTGAAGTTTTTCATCATTATCTAAGAAAATAAAATTATCATCATCATCATAAATTTTTAAAATTTTAATATAATAAAAATTAAAATCATATTCTACACAATAAGTGAAATTAATCTATGAAATAATAATTTACTTCTTATATAGTATTTAATTAAATAAAAATATTCTGCTTTATTATTTTGAATATTTAATGGGTGAGAAATATTAAGAAATAAGAATTTTACTTAATTATTTTTTGTAATTTGGTCATTCTCAGACTTACTTATTTTACTTCTTTCTCCTTTATCATTAAACAAATAAGATTTCCTGATATACCACTGTTTAAAATGTATTCTTAAAATTTAGCAAATTTTAAAAATATAATATTTTCAAATTTATATGAAAAAAAATAATAATGATCTAGATTTTTGTAGATAAAATAGGAAAACTGTCTTATCTATTAAAAATTTCATCAAAATTTAAAAAGTTTTTCAAATTTTAAAGTGCTGCTTTTTCTATTGGCATTCCAGAATATTTGTACTTAATTACCCTGTAGTTATGTTTCTTGTTTTGTCTGATAAAATAAATTTATTTTAACAAAATGCTGGAATTTATTAGTAGTACTGTTGTATCAAAGTAACAAATATTTATATTTGTATTTATAAAAATTGAATATATTAAGTAACAAATATATATATACTTATGATGCAGTTTTTATATTTCTTTTAAAATAATCAATTTTTTAAAAAATTGATTTTTTTTAAAAGTAGTACTGTTATTTATTTATTATCCAAACTTTAAAGTAACATCAAAAGACAGTTTTATAGTTTTATCATTATTTTTAGTCTTTTCTTCTGTCAACTTAACTCATTTTTTACAGTGTACCATTTATTAAAATTGCTTTAAATGTTTTTGATATTTTTAAATATTAATTAAAATAAATAATGTTGTATCCCATTAATAATATGAACTGTAGATAAAACCAGCAAATGGCTTCAGTATCAATCATTCTGGCCTTTTTGTGCTCTCTGAGCGGTAAGGGGCCTAAAACCACAAAAAAAAAAAAAAAAAGTATCAATCATTCTTTAATGACGACGACAGCTTTCTGAATCATGTTACTGGCAATGAGATGTGGGTCTCATATGAAACATTGAAAGCAAACAGCAATGTATGTAGTGAATACATTCTAGTTAACCAATACCAAAAAAATTCAATGCAACAATTTTTTGAAAAATGATTATGTTGACTGTCTTTTGGGACCAAAAATGTGTTCTGCTTGCTGAATTTCTGCCATGCACTGTTATGCTATAAACAGCATAACTTCTGAAATTTACTTTCTACCCTTCAAAAATTAAGAATAGCAACTCAAAACAATTGACCTAAACTCCTGGACTCATCTTTGCAGTGATTCACAGTGTTTGAGCAAGCATTATTGTATTCACAACAATGCTCACTCAAACACTGTGAATCACTCCAAAGATGTTCTTAAGAAATTCAAGTGAAAAGTGCATTTAACCATCCATCATATAGCCAGAACCATGAACCCAGTAATTATGATTTTTTTCTCCATTTGAAGTCATTTTTGGATGAAAGCACAATCTTATAGATGAAAGGCTGAATGAGACTGGAAGGTTGATTGCATTCACAGAAAGAAAGCTTTTTTAACAATGACAGCAAAATGTTTTGTTCAACTATGAGAAATGTATCAAAATTCTTGTCTATTTTTCACATGATTATGTGAAAAATAGTCAACATATTATATTGCCTCGTAAGACAAATAAGACTTCTATGGTGTTCCATGTTTGTTTTACTACCAACCAAACCTTATTCCCTAATGACTCTCAAACTAATGAATTATCATTTAATATTACTATACAAAAAGCAGAAATAAAATAGCACTTAATTAAATAGTATATATTTCTATTAATAGATATTATTATTACTAAAATGAATCTTACAAATATCAGATGCATTCTGTGTATGTTTGTTTTCTTGTTCCAATAATGTTCTTTCATTGTAATCAGTTTCAGCTCTTACACCTGTATTTTTTCCTACTTCTTCAGAAGTATTATCATTTAAAATTCTGATGTCTTCAATATATTTATTTGGAATGCTTTGTACTTCTAAAAATTCATCATTATTATTTATTTGTTGTAATTCATTAGATGAACTTTCTGAATAAAAAGGACTTGCATTTTCAAGCATTTCTGTTAAAAAGATAAATATTTTAAATTATTAAAATTGAAATAGCACTAAAATCATTGAAATTTTAAAGGTATTACCATTATATTTTTTTCTGACTGGTATTTCATTATCACCAAATTGCTCAGAAAAATGAGAAGATAACTTATTATTTTCAAAATTATTATTTTCCTACAAAATATTGAAAATGTAATTTTAAAATTTTACATATAATTGGTAATCAATTAATTCTATTGGTAAATAAATAATTAATAGAAAATGCAAAATAATAAAATTATTATTTTTATATCCTTAAATTTTTAATCATATACAAAAATTTTTCAGAAGTTAAAAATTAAACTATTATAAATCATAAGTTGAGAATTGTCATCAAAATTAATTAAAGCTTATTAAAAAGTTAAGAACTTCATAACTATAGAAGTTCAGTTTATAACATAACAATCTTATCAAAATACTTACTTTATGATTGATGATGATATCTACAAATAAGTGATAATCCTATCTATAATATGAAATAATCTATATGGAACACCAGTTGCTGGAGATATGGCAGAACTGTGCCTGTAGTATGTGGAAATGAAGGTTATAAAAGAATTTAAAGATAGCATCATAGCAATATTCACATATATAGATGATGTGCTCATTATTTGAAATAAAACAGAAAATACTAAGACAAGATCAATTCGAACCACATGAGAATAACATTAGAAGTATACAAAATTATTAAAGAGTTATCTGTACATACCCTTGATACTGACATCTTAATTAAAGGACCTTTAGATGAAAGAATACAGAAAATCCACAGTAATACCTTTATGTATTCCAGTTATGTCAAAAGACTAATTCAGATATAAACTAGCAAGCTTTAAAAATTGAATAAAAGAGGGAAAAAACATACTCAACAACATATGAAGCCGTGGAGGAATAGGTATTGTTTATTAGAAAGACAACTAAGAAATTTAGTTTTAAGAGCAAGCGTGTTGATAATATCATTGATTGTATTCTCTGTACTATCCCAAATAACTCAAAAAGGAGTGGAAGCATTGAGAAGAGTTTTTGTTTTGAATTCTTATGAATATAAGGTAATCTGGCAGATACAAACATACAAGTGATAAATTAAGACAACGTACAGTGCATGATATTCTTAAAAAAAAAAAAAACAGAGAATATACCAGATACAAAGGCAAGAATTTATAAAGTTCCCATAAATATGAAAGTACAAGGACCAAATAGAATTTTATTCTACATTTGAAAATTTTTTAATTTTACTTTTTGTTAAAATTTGTTCATTGTTAAGAAAGTTACTCTTTTTCTTGAAATCAAAAGTTTATCTTTTTCAAGCACTGTACAGTACTATATGTACATCAGAGAATACTTACTAAATGTTGATTTTATGTTTCATATGCTGTACTATATTCATATACAAATAATGTTAATGATAAATATTATGTTAGAATAAAAAAGCTTGTGTCTTTTGTAAATTACTTATTTTTTTTTGTTTCATTGAAGTTCTGGAACCTATCAAACATTTTTCTAGAGGATACACATACTGTACTTTTTATGCAATTTTTATTTTATGTGGCAATCTTTGGAACATATCCACCATGCAAAAAAAAAAGGACAGGTGTATATGTAATTTGGAAAACTCATTAGCCTATGGGAGGTTAATGAGTTTTCTTTATTTTATTCTTTATTAATACAGTATGTCAAAAATTTTAAAACCTTTCTCATTTATTATCTTTAACTGAATTTTTTAGAATGTAAAAGCCAAATTTGATCAAATTTTCCTTAAAAACATTTCTGAGAATAAATAGACAATTTATTCATATAAGTACTTTTTGAACTTGAATGAAATGCTGAAAACAGCATTTCATTCAATAAATATTGGAATAATATTGCAATAAAAAAAAAATTTTTTTTAAATGAAATGACGACTAGTATTTGCTATATTTAATTAATTAATACTATTACTTGATAAATTTCAGAAAATACTGCTACAAATTTTTGCTGAGATTTACATGGATCTTTGATAACAGATAAAAATGTTTGATAATATTTTGATATATATATGTATGTTATATTACAATTAAATGGTTTTGTTATGCATTTTTCTGAATAAAATTAGAGAAATCAGCTGATGCATTTATGAATAATTGTTCAGGATAACAGTTAAAGTATCAGAGCAAATATGTAAACCAGAGCTGTGAAGTTAGAGTCAGAAGCAAATTCATAGGAGTAGAGTTGGTCAACTTTTGTTGACTGTAACTCCTCATTTTTTATTTTTTACTTTATATTCAGCTCTTAGCATCTCCTATCTTGCATTATAGAAGCCTCCTGTAATGCAAGATCTTATTTCATGATGATTTCCCAACTTTATAGTCTTTCTTTGCATATCACTAATTACAGCTAAAATTTTCTTTTCAGAAATTTATATTCAAATACATTCTGTATTGGCTAATTCTAACTTTTGTCAAAAGAACTGTATAAAATGACTAAGAAGACTTAGGTTAAATCTAGTGTTTTTGAATACTTTACAGAGCCATAGGAAGAGGGAAAATGTAGTCTGGCCCAAAAATGAAGAGCAATTACCATGGTTATGAATGGGCATGGTCTCCTGATTTCTTTATAAAGATTTCATTTTCAATTTTTACCTAGTTATTTCAACTTCTCTAAATTCTAAACCTCCCTAAGTAGAAAGATATTGTGTATAGCTACGAGAGAGCGAAAACAATATCTTAGGGATAAATCCTTCCTCTATGGAAAAGTCTATTGGTTTCGTCTGACTGTTGCAAGTTAGCAGGTGAATTGGAATTATAATTATATTCATAACAAAAAGTGGTCCAGTTGTGGCTGGACCAATCTTAGCTGCTGATCTCATTCATTTGGCCTTGCTTTACTATAACCATAGATGCAAAGCATTTTGTGTATAAATGAGGAGTTGAAGATAATAGTGGTGATAATAAAAACCTGTGAAAAAAATATAAATAGTTTTAGTGGTTTCAATACGAATGCTGAACCCATCAGTGGCCAAGCGATCTTCTGTTCCCTGAACACTGGGAGTTCGATCGTGGGTTCGCACCTCACTCAGACAGACTGGCCACATGGAGTTTTCTGGGTTTTCGCTACATCTGTAACACCTAAATAGGGGCCAGTTTCCCTTCAAAAGACCTTCCAGAAGTCATCCCCCTAGACAGATCACCCAAGTGTTGCATTGCCATAACTTCACTAAACAAACAAACAATAAGAATGCTTGATAATATACTTAAAAGTACTGAAAAAGTAGCCAGATGATTCAGTTAGTAGTGATGAAATGCAATTATGAGTTAATTTAATTAAACTATTAAATTATTATTTAGAGGCAGGAACCAAAGTCAGATACTCTAAAATTCTGCAAGTCAGAGTTGGACTTTCTAAAATTTATGAGTTTGAGTCAGATTTGAGAACTTGGTCTATCAATTCCAAAGCCCTAGCGTAAAAAGTTGCACTCCTTGTCTTCTTACATCATAATTTAAATTTTTTACCATTACTACATACAATCTGTTTAATATAAAACTAAATCCATACAAAAATCAATTTAAAATAATAAATTTAATAACCTCTTCAAATCTTGGTGTTGATGTTTTACCTTCCATATTAGGTACCCAGTAATTAAATGGCTGTTTCATGTTTGTATGATCCCTAAAAATAATATTAAATTAAATTACATTGTAATTGTTCATTTAAAAAAATTATATTTAACTAAAATAAAACAAACTGAAATAATATACAACCATCAGAATAATATTGTAAAAGAAAAAGAAATAATTGAATATAATTAAATTTATACAAATAAAAATTAATTTTACAAAAATAGAGTTTACAGTCATGTAATATGCTTTGCATTGAAAGTTTGTATATACTAATCAAGCCTCCTGCCCCTACAGTTTTCATATCTGATTTCATCTTTCATCTACCTAACTCCATTCTCCAGATTAAGGAAAGTCAGCTAGACAGGTGACAGTGGGAATTTATAGGTCTAAAATTTTTTCAAATTGCATCCCAATTACAAATACAGAAATATACCATATACAATAGAGTGTCGATTATCCGAATCAATTGGGGACTAGGGTTGTTCGGAAAATCGATATTTCGGATAACCGATTATGTACGAAAAAATATATTAATTTATCCCATGTTGAAATTTTTATCCGTTGTGTGTTGCTTCATGTTGAATTTTTGTCAATGTTAAGCCTAACGAAGACTATTGTATCGTTAAAAATTATTTTTTTATTTTGTACAAACAAAATAAATATATTGAAAAATATAAAAACAATAAAAAATTAAACTTCAGAAGTTAATTTAGTATCAAAAATATAAAATATTTGAGTAGCCCAAGACATAGCCAAAGATTGCAGCGCCACAGCACTAGCGAAAATTTAAATTTGCCGACTGGAATTCTTTCAGATAATTGACGTTTCGGATAATTGACGCTCTATAAATAATATTAAATTCTTCTCTCAACTTAGGATATCATACAGCAAAAATCTAAAAATGTTATGAACAATCTACACTAAAGACACTATGTTCAACACCCAAGTGTGCAGTATGAAAAATTCAAAGAATGTATGAAAGATATAGAATAGTGATTCTCAACATTATTGACTTGCAGATCACATAAACTGAGTCACATATGAACTGTAGACCACCTATGTACCCATCCACATCCTATCCTGTAAATATTACTTAGATAATGATAGATTGAGTGCCGAAATATCTCTAATGTGGGAAATACATGATGTATAAAAATGTTCTTTTCTCTGCCTAAACAGCATAGAATTACATTTTTCCAAAATGCAATTCTATGCATTTTCGTCAGATCTGTGTATCACTTAGCATATGGTACTGCCAGACCAATCTGCAGATCATCTGGCACATGCTAATGAGCAACCAGTGGCCCCACACCAAACTTTGAGAATGACTAATGTAGATGATGATCCATATCCAGAGAGATCAGTGATGTGCATAATGGAAGTTATTGCTAAAATTAAGGAATTCAGACAGGACCAATTAGTAATCAATAGACAATCTGGCCCACAGTGATTATTTTTGACTCTATCTTGTATACATAAATATGAAAAACTGAAACAGAATTGTTAACTGATAGCTGAAATTACAAAAGTATATGAAATAACTTATATAATGCTGTATCCACAAAATTGTAATAAAGTTTTTCTATGGCCTCTATAGGAAATAGAATCCACATTTGTCTAGATTGTTGTATAATTCCAGCCCTGGATTTAATAAAATCTAAGAAATCATGAAACAGCTCAGTAGCTATATTATATCTCAGTGCATATGTTGCATCTGTGAGATTTTAGATACCCCTTTTATTAATGGAAAGTTAAATCAAATCAATAATGTTTAGAAATAATGTTTCTGATTTTGATGGAAAAAGTTTAATTTCAAAAACGAAGGAAACTGGTAAAATTCACTTCCTTTTCAATGGAAGTTTCACATCCTTTCATATTTCCCTTATCTTCCAAGATTTGAGTCACCTAACGAACAGTCACCCCTCTATAAATCCCCACTCATCCTGCTCACGTGGGAAAAATACAATGTTACCATTGGAGGAAAACCTCAAAAAAGGGGATTCTTTGGTATTGTTCGGAGAGTACACCTGAATTTCTCGATGTAGAAAGACGTATTCCATACCGTCTCCCCACGGCAAACGCCATTAGCCAGGAGTGCGCCTAAATCTTCATAGTAGAGAAGACATATTCCATGTCATCTCCACATAACCAACGCCCAAAACTTGAAGACTAAACTATTTGTTTAAGTGCCTCCTCCAAATTACTAAAGGAAAGATAAATAAAACTGAACAAGAACCAAGATTAATTAAAGAACTTTTTCATTGAACAAATATAAAGAGAAGACATCGAAATAGAAAGTCAGTGAGGTAGTATGATTCTAAAACGAAGTGTAATCTCTCTCTCCGTGAAATGGATAGATTTTATAATGGTAATCTCCATTTTTTTGTTTTTGATTTAGTTTATTAAATATTCTTTGTTATTTCGTTTAAACATGGCCTCATTCTTGACTGAATCAAAAAGATTCCTCTTTCACAATTATAACACAACCTCTCCATGAAATTAATTAGAAGTAATCGCATGATAGTCTGCGTAATTGACTATCTGGTGTCAACATCCTGACGGATCCTAAGGATAGACTTCACAGTCTGTATCCTTATTTACTTTAAAGACCTCCAAAAATTTAGAGATCGAATCTTGCGATTTTGTGCCGATTAAGCGGTACTCCAGTTTGTATCCCCAGCTTATCTCACACATCTATTTGCATTCCTTTAAATTATATGTTGTTTGTCACTCATAAAATAGTGTATGTACTGTTAGCCCTAATGAAAAGAACTGTATATGTACAGTACTTTTATATGCCCAGTTTCAATTATGAATCTGTCTTTAACTGAGGTTCTATGCAGCAAGACACAAGAGCTAATGACAAAACAAAATGTTAGGCTTATACTAAACCAATAAATTATTATAATAATAATTTCATCAAAGAAGTTACTTCATTTGGTTGTTTAAAATCCACGTATCATCATCATCAAAATTTTGATTTGGTTTTGCATACTCAGAATCATCAATAAATTCACTGGCATCATCATCATCATCATCAATTAAATCATCAAATGCTGTTGATAATAAATCTTGCAACTGAAATTTTAAAAGAATTATTTTATGAATATTTTAAAATGTTAATATTAAAAGTTTTTATTTTAATTAATAAATTCTTCATAAAATATTAGCTTTCAATATTCCTACAATTTCAAACAGTAATGAATTATACATTATCAGAAATTAAAGTAATATCCTTTAATTATAATTTTAAGAAATTTAATCAATCTATTTCAATCTATAATTTTTGATGATATTAAAATTTAAAGAAAGATTATTATTATTATAAATAATGAAAATATAATATATTTTTCAACTCATTTTAAAGTAGTAAGATTAATGTTTACAATCCAGAATTATAAAATATTATAAGTATACAATGCACAAGATACCACTATATCATGCTTGCTTAGTTGCCCAAAAATACTTGAGAGAAACTTCTTAATAAAGTGAACTCCAATGCAGTAGTTTATTATTTTTGTTATAATTTTTAAAGAACTTGGAGTTGTTTTCACATTAAATTGATTCATTTCACTTCTGATAAATATTTTGTATTTCGGCAACAGGAAGTTTAGGACAGTCAAAAACACTCTAGATGTTAAATAATAGAAATTTCTCAAAAACTGTCTTGAGAATATTCTGAAGGATAATGTGAATAATTCTCAGTGATAACCTTTGCAAGAATATTCTCACAATTATTATTACTGAGAATTTTACAACTTATAATTTCATTGAATCTAAAGAAACACTTTATTACTAAGTTACCATTATTTTACAAATACTTATTTCATATAAAAACAGAATCTACTTATCAGTTCATCCTATCATTGAATAGTAAATACAAATTATTTCAATACATATTTGGAAAAAGTAGACTAGTCTGAAATTAACAACCATCAAACTACTCTGTCTATCAATAGTTTCAATTGAATATGTTATATCAGAAGTTCCCAATTTATTTTTAGCATGAAATGCTTTTCACCTTAATAAAAAAAATGTTGGTACCCTGAGGATATCAACAAATTAAAGCATATAGGTAGCCACTTTACTTTAAACCAAAACCAAAAATAAAACTACAAAAAACTAATTTTATTGATTTTTAATTGATTTTATTTCAATTTAAATTAATTAATTTAAACTGAAATAAAATCAATTGAAAATTAAAAGAATATTTTTAAAAACTGTTTAAAACTTGTTTTGAAATTTTCAATTGCAAATCAAATTTATTTTTAAATTTATGTTATTTGTGTAACTTGTCAAACATTATATCATGATTTCAGTTCATTCCATTACCAATAAATCGATTCCTACTGTTTAGAAAGCTATAAATAACTTTAGCATGTGTATAGTCTCAGATGGAGTCCTTGTATAATCATACAAAGACTATCTGATACCACAACAATTACACTTCACATCCCAAATCTACATTGGCACATCCATACATCACTAGATCAACGGATTTTATTGTGGAACCCCAAATTTTTATCAGCAGAACCCTAGGGTTCCACAGAACACAATTTGGAAACTGGTGTTATACAGTGGTGCCTTGTACTGTACTTCAAATTTAATTCATTCCAGGAGGTTGTTTGAACTCCAAATTCATCTGAATTAATTTTTCCCATTAGATATAATTGATAGTGAATTCCCAGACACTAAACAACATCCATGTTGATAAACTTAAAACATCAAATACACATGATTTAACATAAAAATAACTAAATCTTCCCACAGCTGGTTATATGTTAGTAAATAACACCAACAAAACCTTCAAAATAAAACCAGCAAATATGTTTTAATATCTTTTATCTAGTGCTTTTGATCCTTAAGGCATCCGTGTTATAAAAATAACACAATTAGATGCCTTAATAATGAATTAAAACATGAAAACCATGAATAAAATACATAAATACTGTATAATAAAATGAAAACTGCATTTATTGGTCCACACTGTGGACTTCTGCATCTTAACATAGATGTGTGATTTAATTAAAACAACTGTGAAATTAAACATATTATAACATAATTTAACATATGTAATATAAAATTTTATCCTTTGTTTACAATCTTACTTTAAACACTGTACTACACATTTTGTTTGAATAAAATCAAGTGGTAATGTCAGATAAAAAGCATATCAAGCATATCTATCAACAAATATCACACTATGCAGTATAAATAAGCAAACCCATATATGCTTTATGCAGGGATGCACAACCTTTTCTGAAGAAGGGCCAAATTAGGATTAAGTTTACTGACTGGGGGCCGGACCTCCAAGTGATTAATGTGATGGCTGAGATTGGATGCTGGTGGCAATCTTCTTGATGTCTAGCGTAATGGCAAATGTTGAAACAACCAGCAGATTTTCCAAATTCTCATTGGTTAACCTGTTCCGTGTTTGGCACTTGTTTAAATTCATAAGCGAAAACACTTGTTCGCATACATACCATGTTTCCCCAAAAATAAGACCTAGCAGAGGTTTTGCTGAATTGCTAAATATAAGGCCTCCCCCCGAAAGTAAGACTACTAGGTCTTACTTTCGGGGGGAGGCCTTATATTTTTTTTTTTACTCGTAACGGTCATCAACAGCAGGTTGAAAGTGGCCGTTGGCTTTTTGAAAGTACAGCCACTGATTGGTCAGCAGACAACATGCCACACGGCATGATTTGCATAAGACTAT